AGAAGTTAGCGTTCTCCCAGCGAATCCGAACGATCGGCTCCAAGAATCGGCTCTAAACTTACAGGCGGCAAACGGAAAACCGATCGCTACGTATGGCAAAAGGTACGTTTACCTTAACGTGGGTTTACGCAAACCCATCCACTGGATTTTCGTTATTGCAGATGTTTCTATGCCAATCATTGGTATGGACCTTCTACAACATCATAATCTGATCATCGATACGCGCAAACGGAGGCTAGTAGACGGAAACACAAATTTGTCCGTTTGCGTAACTTCTTTTAATGGTTGTAGAGTATCCCCAGTCACAGTTAAACATATGATAGACCCACTCTATCAACCACTACTCGATAAGTACCCGAGGATACAACAAACTCAGCCGAAACTACCGTGTGTAACCAGCAACGTTACACATCACATCACGACTACAGGACCACCTGTATTCTCTAAAGCACGACGACTAGCTCCCGAAAAGCTAAGGTTAGCGAAAAACGAATTCGATCACATGATGGACTTAGGAATCATACGACCGTCAAGTAGCCCATATGCATCTCCATTGCACATGGTCCCTAAAAAGGACAGCAACGATTGGCGTCCAACTGGTGACTATCGGCGATTGAACGCGAAAACCATTCCCGACCGTTACCCGTTGCCTCACATTCACGATTTGACAGCTACCTTGAAAGGTACAACTGTCTTTTCGAAAATCGACTTGGTTAAAGCGTATAACCAAATACCTATGGCTACTGACGACATACCGAAAACAGCTATAATAACTCCTTTCGGACTCTATGAATTTTTGCGAATGCCTTTCGGTCTAAGGAATGCTGCTCAAACATTCCAAAGATTCATAGACGACGTTTTTCGAGGTCTCAACTTCGTACACGCGTATGTTGACGACCGTCTAATCGCAAGTCCGGACAGAGAAACACATCTCAAGCATCTGGATCTTGTTTTCGAACGACTTCAAAAACATGGCATAACTGTAAACGTTCAGAAATGCCAATTCGGAACCGACTCGTTAGACTTCCTAGGACACACTATCGATGCTCAAGGCATTCGACCTCTTAGGACCAAAGTGGCGGCCATTCTGGATTACCCAGAACCGACCACCGTCAAGCAATTGCGCACGTTTAACGGCCTGGTAAGTTTCTATAGACGTTTCATACCCAAATGCGCATTACTTATGAAACCTCTGACCGACCAACTTCGTGGAAATGCGAAATCCATTAATTTGGACGACACCGCAAGAAAAGCATTCTCCACAGTTAAGGAACTGATTGCTAAAGCAACAATGCTCGCACATCAGGACACCCGAGCACCCATTAGCATCGCAGTAGACGCATCCGACTCAGCAATCGGAGGAGTCTTACAACAATGGGTTAACAACTCCTGGCAACCCTTGGCATTTTTCTCTAGAAGGTTGCTAGACACCGAATCGAGGTACAGCACATTCGGTAGGGAACTCCTAGCTATGTATTGTGCTGTACGGCATTTCCAACACTACATCGAAGGTCGTGAATTCACTCTTTTCACGGACCATAAACCGCTCACTTTCTCGTTAAGCTCTCCTTCTGACAAGTACTCTCTACGTGAGTCTCGACAACTGGACTACATTTCGCAGTTTACTTCAGATATTCAACACATCTCTGGAGCAAACAATGTAGTTGCAGACGCTTTATCTCGTATAACTTCCTTGAACAGTTTCCAAGGAATCGACCTTCTTAAACTCGCCGAGCTTCAAAAAGAAGACAGTGATCTTCAGCACGAGTTATCGTCCACAACACTTAAACTACGCATCAAACAGATGGGAACAGGTAAGGAAACCTTACTTTGTGACACATCTACAGGTAGGGATCGCCCAATCGTGCCGAAACATTATCGACGCAATGTCTTCAATACATTGCACAAACTTTCTCATTCAGGTGTTCGTGCAACCATCAAGCTTATAGCAGAAAGGTTTTGCTGGCCTGGAATGAATAAAGACGTGAGGGAGTGGGCACGCTCCTGTGTAAGCTGCCAAAAATCTAAGGTTATCAGACACAATAAATGTCCCTTAGGCTCGTTTAAAACTCCCGATGCTCGTTTCGACCATGTTCATCTGGATTTGGTAGGACCTTTACCAGATTCAAATGGATACTCTTATCTCTTAACCTGCGTAGACCGTTTCACTCGATGGCCAGAAGCAGTACCTATCAAGGACATCACTGCTGAAACAGTGGCCCGCACCTTCGTCGAACGATGGGTAGCAAACTTCGGTTGCCCCTCAACCATCACTACAGATCGCGGACCCTTCAAAGTTCTTCAACGTGAATCTAAGTACTATATAGTCGATAAGAACGGAACCAACGATAGCATCAGTATCGATCGCTTAAAAGCAGCGCATTTAGAAGGAAATCCTATCTACGTGGATTTTCCTTCGGTACAATCGAACGACACGACTCCGACACTTATAATACCTCATCCGACAACCAACACACACGATGATACTTCGACAGTATCCGAAAATAAACTTAAAACGACGCGTTCTGGAAGAAGGGTGAGATTTCCAGAACATTTAAACGACTATTGCACGTAAGGCAATTCTCGAAATTTCATATTATTTTTTTAAAAAAAAAACAATTTTAATATGCTTATATATTTTTATTTCTATTTAAAAAAAACAAAAAAAAAACAATTTTTTTAACGCTATTGCGTGTTCATGAGTTTATTTTCCATTTTTTTCCGCCGACATTGTGCTTTTACGCACATACGAGTGTATTTTCGACATGCACTTACATTTTCTTTTTTCTTTTCCAGGACGGCTGGAAAAGAACGATGACGTTTATGAGGATCCGAAATTTTCATTGTACATTTTCTTTTTTTACTATGTCGTACCTCCGTCCCATATAGTAAGGAAAGACGACCAGACGCTGCTAAATTTAGTAAGCTATCAGAAGAGTGTTTACCAACGACAAACTCGTTGGGTTTAAACTTCTGGCTGGCCACGTCTTAGGGTCGTCACTGCCCCACTAGGGGGGAGTGATCTGTAGCGGTAAATAAATCCCCAAAATAAATAGCCCTAAGTTTTCGACATTGGATGCTGACCATATGTTTTAGTGGACTCATCTAGCTGAAGGCGCTCGGTCATGCATCCGCACCAGATCACGTGTGGTAACGCCGTGCTCAACATCAATCGCAATCGCTAGCCAGATTAGATCAGAGAATTCCGATATATTGGTCATCGCCAAATATACGCTTCCGATCTCCTCGACTCTGTCTTTTGATTTCTCTGGGCGGGAACGAAATATAATAGAAGGTGTTACTGGTAGAAGCGTTGTCAAACACTGAATACCTGTGACATCATCAACAGTGATCACCACCCCAGTGATCAGTCAATAGTGACGATTCATAGTAGAAGGTGTTACTGGTTAAAGAGTTGTAAAACTGCAAGCGCCTGTGGCATCTTCAGCAGGAACACTAACGAACTGGTGAAAAATTCGTGATGAGTTGGGTGTTCTCAAAATCGACACACCGTGGAACTTATTACCAGCGGGGGGAGTAACGGAACCTTCTGCAGTGTTCTAAGGCTAACTATTGAAAGTCCTTCACTTCCGCCACTAATTCAGCCTTCAGTATTAAGGATAGGGGGATTTCATTAATCCTTGCAATTTGTAGTAGTGTAGAGATCCAATCGCACTTCCAATGTATCAACAGAAGGTTCTAATATTACGTATCCTGTTAGAGAAATCCGGTAATTCACCACTCCATGGGAGAAAGGAGAGCCAGGGCGCAGGCGATTGGATCTCGGTCTTCTGGATTTTCATAGAATATCCTTTCAGACGATCAGCCTTAAATGAAAGGAGATAAAACAACAAGATCTTTATTCAGTATACAGTGAGCCATTTTTGGATCACTCAATAACCTGCGATAGCATAATGGAAATAGGCCGAGACGTCTCAGTTCGTCTTCATAAGTAAGGCCAGACAGACATAATACTATTTTGGTCCCTTGCCACTGAAACCGTTTTAGCATATCTGTCTCATACTTAAAACAAGGACTCTCTGTTTGAATCCCACATCCCAAATACGGCCTCACGAAAGCCAAGTATAATACCCTAATAATTTCCTCGCTCAGGTACTGAGCTGCAAACAGCCTGAAGATGACACAGGTATTCAGTGTTTGACAACGCTTTTACCAGTAACACCTTCTAATATAATTCATTCCCACCCAGAGAAATCAAAAGACAGAGTCGAGGAGATCGGGAGAGTGTATTTGGCGATACCCAATATATCGGAATTCTCTGATCTAATCTGCCTAGTGATTGCGGTTGATGTTGAGCACGGCGTTACCACACGTGATCTGGTGCGGATGCATGACCGAGCGCCTTCAGCTAGATGAGTCCACTAAAACATATGGTCAGCATCCAATGTCGAAAACTTAGGGCTATTTATTTTGGGGATTTATTTACCGCTACAAGCCCATAAGATCACGAAACCTTTGGCAGAGGCAGTCCTGCAATTCCTCGTAGGGCTGAAGTTGTTGACTAATGGATCTTTATTGTCCGTTTCTTTAGGTTATACAACTTCAAATATGAGTCTTTGGTAATAAGGATAGTGGGTTGGTGGACCTGTGCCAGTCCTTACAGTTTGTCTTCCAGTAAGCGTTCAGCTTCAAAATATTCACTGATAGAGCTGATACCACTTGCTCGGGTAAGACATTCCAGCCACTTTAGTTTATTAGATCGCAGTTTGTGAATCTTCTCGCTATGACCTCGGAGATTATTAGTGGTGGAGGGAGCAAAGAGATAAGACATATTAACACCCAAATCGTAATTAAAGATACGAAATGTCAACATACGATCACCTTGCATTCTACGATACGACAAGGAGGACTTTATCCTACAGTCACAGAAGGAACATAATAGGAACTATAAACTCAAAGTGGCAAGAAAATTCTCAGACTACTCAGATACAGATCCCAAGGATTAAGTAGTTCACTAGTTATGACACTCAAATGTTTTTCTTTGAGTTAGAGCGTGGATTTGAATGACTGGCTACTCAGTTTGATGTTATGCAGTTTTTCAGCACAGTTTGTGATAGAGTTTCCTCTTTCAGTTCAAATATATATGAAACCTTCTATGATCTTATTAAAAAGTTCACTTTGTTTTACTCTGGAGTCCTTATAAGTATAAGAGAAGGTATTTTGGCAGAAATATTCCCGAGCCTTCTTTTGTCGTATGTAAGTAGCTGGGTTGGAATTTCTCGAGATTTACAGAATGCCACGGTCCTCCTCATACTGACTCTATTTTTGCTGGGTCTATCAACATTTTTACTACTACGGCACTTAAAGTCGCATGGTATTTTAATGTTTCTAAATTAATTTTCATGTTGACATAGTGCCTTTGCGTGTTAAAACCACTCAAGTTCCTCGGGGATTTCGCCGAAGAGATAAGATCAGGTACCATGCAATCAGGTTCGGGCGCAAATTCAGCGAAATAACGGAGGAGTTAAAAAAGGTACAGACAAAGGAAGAACGGAGAACTACTATCATAAATTTCGCGAGAAAGTGATTTGATTGTTTTTAACCCTCATCCTACAGAATCTTCAAGTTGCATGACATCGAAAAGTCGCCGACGCTGGCCTATGGTCGACTTCCTGAGTCGTTTTTTGAACCAGATGAGGAAGATGTCTCTTCATTACCAGAAGATCTCCGCTTGATGATAAGTTCGATAAGGGTTTTTGGGCAACTGGAAAAATCATTTTTTATAAGGTTTTGCAAATTCATTGAGACAATAGAGCTAAATGTAGGCGAGTATCTGTTCCGTATTGGAGATGAAGATAAATATGTGTATGTTATTCGTAGTGGTAGAATCCAAATCACTGTCACAGAACCGGTAAGTCTTCAATACCATTTTGGTAGGCAGCATGTTATATTTTGCCAACAACAGTTTATTTTGACTGTTTACAACAATAAACACAGGCTAAAAACGCGTTATTTCTCATCAGTTCAAAATATTGGGGGATTCAGTGTCGGTTAAATTTGTCAAATACTGGTCAGACATTTCGCAACACGATTTATTAAAAATCCAAGTTCACTATAAAATTTTTGATATCATACAAGCCATAGTACGTCTGCTAATAACCTGAAAAGTCGGTACTGTCCACTTTTATAGTTATGAATTCTAGTTTGCTACTATTGGTTTTTTTTGACAAAATATCCACTGACACCCATTATATATATATATATATATATATATATATATATATATAGTTTTGTCTGTCTCCGGTGATTGTCTCTTCGGACTTCCCTAAATCGTCAACGTGATAATGAGTTAACTTGACTCTTTGTTTTTCCTCTCCGGATTTAAATTACAAATAATAAAAGCTGATACTATCTGGAATCTGATTAGCTTGCTATAATAAAGGATTCTCATTTTATCCTTTATCTTACTATGCTTTGAACAAAACATGTCAGTTTTTATTCCCTGATATCATTTGTCGCTGTAACCTGCTTTTTGGTTGTTTCAAGTTTATAATTATGATAATGTTACTACTTTCAGTCCTCAGTTTTGTTTATATTTTCTGTAAAGTACAGCAACTTGTTTACATCGTTTTACCTAGCTAAATTAATTCATATTCAGATATCAAAAATGTGTCACCAAACCGTTTATTTTCACGGTTTATAGTTACAATTAATGGTGTTTAAAACAATATTGTTATGTTAATACTTGTTTGATTTTCTGAGTTGAATATTTTCTGAGCATTACTATGCGTACTAAATATTTTCTCTTGGGTCTAAATGTATAGGATGGATCCAAGTGCATCATCGCTGAAGTTGGAAAAGGTGGGAGTGTTGATAGTTTGCTATCTGTTCTGGGTATACTTACTGGTTATCCTTCAACTTTTGAGTTCATGGAAGCAGTCGCTTTGGAGCCCACAACTGTATTATGCTTACCGGCCCGATCATTTTTGGAAATATGCAAAACACAAACACCTCTTTTTCGCATTATTCAGATGATTGCAGTTAGACTTCAGCGTTTGAGCTTCAACGCGTTACACACTTATCTTGGTTTAAGTTCGGAACTAATTAATAAGGTTAGTATTATAGTTCATTTATCCTCTTTTACAATAGACTATCTGCTACTTAGTAAAGCCTAACTATTATGTACCTAACTGGTTCGATTAATTGAATTCCACTGTAATTTTTCTGTTGCTTTTTGCGTTCAAAATATCAATTAATAAGAGTTATCTATCTTAAAGAAGGGCATATGCTATGTCATAATCATTCGATACACATTCTTGCTGCTTTTTGGGTTCAGTGTTCGATTTCTTCTATCTGCTTGTTTTTAGTCGTCTCATGAAGAGTAATACTCTGAAGAAATAGTTAGAGATGTGTTCGCCTAAGCTCTATGTTGACAGTGTTGCGTATAAACTTTTACCAATATATTTATAGTTAAAGTTTTTACATACTTTGCCTTTGGTTCCTATCGTTTTTCTTTCAGCGTTAATCACTGGCCACTCCATACCTTACGAGAATCAAAAGGATCGTAAATAAGCATAATTTAAGGGTTTATATACGCGAACATACTCTTAGTTCGACTTTGGTTAATGTCCGTATGCTAGACAAACAGGTTTATATCTTGTATAGGTTATACCTGTTTTGTGTAACTTATTTCTAAAAGAGATTCATGTTTTGGAAGAATAGACATTGTTCATCTCTTTAAGCGTGATACAAAAGTGTTAATAGCAGTTTTAAAATGTCACAAGAAAATAAGTGTAGTGTAAAAACTGTGATTTCAGTGAAGCAGATAACATTTCACATATTATACTTTTCTGAATTAAAGAGAAACAAAACAACAGGTATCGACTATTTGAAGAAAATATAACCATGGGACAAAATGTATGTCATGAAAAGAAACTCAGAATTAACAGGAAGAGAAACAAATGAGAAACTGTATTCCTGTGGTTGGTTTCGAGATAAACTGCATCGCATGAATCTCGACTACGATATATGTATCTCCTAACTCAGTATCTGGCTTCAAGTCACAAGTTCTGTATCAGGATCAGTGATGTTACCAGGCTACACAAGCCACAGTAGGTGAATCGCGTTTCGAACCTGTAAACTTGTGAGTGTAGAGAGGAATTTTTTGATATTTAAACTACTATTCTACTAAAACAACAACTGACAAACTGATGCCATATCGTATTCTGAAAGCCCCTAGCTTTTCCAATCCACTTTTGCTGACCAACACAGTGCATTGATGTAGGTGGCAGCAGATTATATATACTACATATCGCAACTGCCCTAGTTAATCAAGGAACACGACCTTGATAACCGATTTACTGCCTTTACTTAATACTCTACATCTAGCATTCGCGCTGCTAATTCGGTCGTTTTATTGTTTGCTGATAGTACCTCGAAGGTACTTATGGTCATATGATAAGAAGTTGTTTGTGTACTTTGGTTTCAAAACCCTTACAATCCAACGTAATGTGAAATGAATGTCTGGTTTATTTACTCTCCCTAATATTAAGAATGATAAGCCGATCAAAATCATTTTTGGATAATCAATCCAGGTGATTAGAGGACTCTTTGTCACTTTATCATCTCTCATGATCTTCTGCACTCTTAAAGTCTCAGAGTTTCCAAATGCGAGTTAAATAATTAAAAAATCGAACTCGATAACTTTTTACATCATTCAGATTATGAAGCCTTACAGACCATATTGTTATTGATCACCATTGAAGGGAATAAATGTTAGTCTGTTGCTTTTCTGCATTTTCATCATTTACTAAAAAGGTTTCTCATGATAGACCTGAAGATAAAAGCAATAAGTGTGTGATAACGGACTATCAAGAGTGGTTTCATTTATGACCTACCTTAGTGAAGTATTCAGTCTACTTGAAAATATCGTTGAAGATTGTAAGTAATCTGTGACCAGTGGTTATAGATAAAAAGGATATTAAGGATAGGCAATAACTGGAAGTTATTTAATTTAATCAAAGCGGTTTGAAAAAGGCGATGCTTAGTATAGCTATCATAAAAGAGGATTGAATATTTATTATTCCTGGGATTAGTAGGCTAAAACGTTGACTAGGATACCTCAATATATCAACTAGCCTACAGCTGCTCTTCACTTACTTAAACCTGAATCACAACCACAGATGATGTTGAGGTTGGTAAGCGCAGGATGAGGCCGATAAAAATCAAAGCAGTAGGATCTGACCTCTGAAGCCCCTAAGTATGATAGTCAGTAGGCACCAGTACAAGCGTTTTCTTGACAGAGGAGTTCGGGTTTACAAGGAAGGCGAAACTGCAAAACAAGTGTAAAAAACAAATATCTCATGCTAATGATTATAATTTATCCTTATAATAGTGGTTTCAATTACAGCTAATTTATAAATGAAAGTTAAGTACCGATAAAATAAATGAGACTGGGTGGAACACGGCTTCTAAAACTTGATAAGATTGTAATAATATAAGATATAAGCGATAAACATTGTAAGTGCAAATAACACTTGTGGTAATCATGGTGTTGATTAAAAAGTCAAATGACCGTTCGCCTTTTTAATTCTCCACGTAACACTTCCGAAATTGGTGTATTTACACTAATAAAGTGAAATAAAAACTGAACATTGAGAATATTGAATTAATTTGTCGGGTGTAGATTTTGCCCAATTGAAAACTACTTTTCTTTTTGGTGATCTGCATCATCATCAATGGGATAATCGTCCACAAATCCTCACAAAGGATGCAAACATATCTTTACAATTACGTAGCAGTTGTTAGTAATATGTTAATCTATGAAGGGGACTATTAAGAAGAGTAAGTAAACTTATGAATTGATGCTTTCCCCTATTGTTGTAATATGTCATAGTTTCTAGGCCCTCAAATAATCAACAATGTTGCAACAGATACTTGGTTCAAAAAGTTGTATCGTCATTTCAAATAGGAATTCATTGGGTAAGGTTTTCAACATATGAGGCTTGGGTGTTCATCATTGTTACTAATCACCAGCAATAGATTTCTCATATCTATGCAAATCTATTTTAATTAATTAGTAAGAGGCATTTAGGAAGATATTGATAGCAGTTGGTGATTTCATTGTTACTTGAATATTGTTTTAAAAAAAGTATTTTCTTTAGTTATAATCGATATTATTCGATAACATGTTACCTATTCATTCAAATTCATTGTTTACATAGGACTTTTCCCCTATATCTGGTTCATCTGAAGCTCACGAATTCCTATGCAAGGTTTTTGAGAAGAGACCATCAATGAAAGACTTTAACGAGTTCGGTAATATTAGTTTAAAGTATCCGGGTAAGATTTCCTTTATATTAATCAGTGTACTTGTCATCATTTTGATAAGTCAGTTAGTCAGTGGTCTCGAGTGCTGTTAGAGATATGAGGGCGGTTATCACTTCCGGATTGCCCACACTGTGTAAGGGTTCTTCTAGGAGTACCTGAAAAGGAAATGGGGTTAGAGTTGTTCTTAGTGATCTGAGAGCGTGACTGCAGTCACTCAGCTACAACGTAGGACCAGGTTCATATATGCGTCGGTCCAAGTTGCCACACATCACTAGCACAACAGGATGAACACCAAATTCATAGAAGCAGTTACTTCAATGGTAGTAATATATAAAAGAAAGATTTCATATAAGGATACAAGGAGAAGCAATTGGTTCGTAGAAAGGAAGGTATAAGATAATTTTAATCTCACCGTCTAAGAGAAGACAAAGAGTGCATACACCTACTCCATTGTGATCGATTCTGAGCCATACCACCCAGAGTTTCCAACCATTGGTTACGTTAGTCACGCGGACCTCAACCAAGTAGTCTGTATCCACCAACATGGCTCAGAGTAGACGTTAGTGACTTCAAGCTCTGATGCCAGGTTTTGTTTTGGTCGCCTCTAAATTCCTTCCGACCATCCCCAACACTGGTCAGCATTGCGCGTCGTGGTAATCGGTATTCAGGCATAAGTAACACTTGGCCCAACCATCTCAGTCGATGAAGACTCACAACCTCATCGACTGATTTAACATCATTCCCTAATACCCTGTGTCTGACCTCACTATTAATTACCCGGTGATCCCAGCAGATGCGAGCAATATTTCTAAGACATCTGTGACTAAATACTAGTAACCCACGAGTATCCTCTACCCTTAATGGCTACGTTTCGCGGCCGTAAAGTAAAACAGAACGAACTGCTGAGCAGTATACTCGTCCCTTAATTGATAGACAGATATCTCGCTATCCATGGAAGACGTGAGTTGGCAAAAACCAAACGAGCTTTCTAAATTCGTGCAGAGATTTGTCAGACACCTACCCATTAGGGCTACTAAAACACTGCATTTTATCAACGTCTTCAACAAACAGTACTATGTAATCAGGGTATTCTAAGTCGATAAGTGGACTTCCTGGTAGGAGATCGATTCCTGAAAAATTAGTGGACGAGAACGTTGTTTCCATCAGTATGTTTATGATGAAGTTGAACAAAAATGGAGATAGTGGACAGCCTTGTCGGACACCAATATTTTATTTTACTTAGTTGAACACATAAATATTGGTACAAGGGGGCACCAGATATATATGCGCCACACAAAACAATGAGAATGGGAAGAGAAGAAGAATGTAAGGTGCGTATAAGAAAGAAAAAAACAATAACAACCACAGATTAGTATATGGTTATGCCATAATAATAATAGTAATAATAGTAAAGATGGGGGAAACGGAAAGGTACAACGAGAAAAAATTCTTTCAGTTAAGGAAGTTACAACCACTTTTTATGAGGAAAATAAAAGAAGGTTACAGCAGGATCACCACTGGCTTCTATTCTGAGCAATATCTGATAACGTCTCTATCTACTGTGTTGCACCATCTCTCGAACTCCAGCCAGGGAGTTGAGATGGACCAACAGAAGCCAGCCCTTTGCAGCTTTCTTTCATACCACGACACCATGTCATACACTGACCACCTCTCCGCTCTTCCCAACCAGTCCCAGAGTCGGCAAATAATGCACGACGTGGAATTCTCTGGGACGACATTCGTAGAACATGTCTAAGCCATAAAATGTCTAAGTCGAGGTTTCAAGATAGTGACACCAATTGCATTATCGTCGCTGTGCCCGAACACACGACGCCGAGCCTCTGCATTACTAACATGGTGTTGCCACTGGATGTCAGCATTCCTTCGGAGACAACGTTGATCGAACACAGAGAGTCATCTAACACCGTCAACTTGGAGAGGCCAGGTTTCCCAAGCATAGAGCAAAACTTCTCTCACCGACGCGTTGTAGATCCGACCTTTTGAAGCCAGACTAAAATCACGAAGGCGCCAAAGATGGCCGAGATTGGCATAATCCTCTCTGACTTTCACTATACGTGCATTGATCTCATCACTCACGTCACCACCAGCACTTGTGTAGCTACCCAGATACACGAACTTCTCGACTACTTCTATCTGCTCACCACTCAGGGTGAGTGCAGGATCAGGATCCTGTCAGTCTTGTAAAAGTAGTTTGCACTTCGAAGGTGCAAAGCACCTACCGTACCTACGGAGACTGATTGCCAACCGATTAAGTGCAGATTGTATTGCCTGGGTACCATCGCATGGTAAGACAATTTCATCCGCATACTCAAGGTTGAAAAGTCTTTCTTCGGGCAACAGATTCACACCGCTATAACCTACATCAATCAGAGCCGCTTCCAGAACGTCATTGAGGGCAAAGTTGAAGCGGAATGGTGAGATTGGGCAACCCTGTCTAACCTTATTACTTGAGTGAAACAATGGAGAATGGGGGTTGTGTGTTATCACTCTGCCTGAGGTGTTAGTATATATGGCTTTTAGGATGTTAATAAACTTCTCAGGCACACCCTTCTTCAATAGACAATCCCAGAGAACAGTCCTGTTCAACGAATCGAAGGCAGCCCTGATGTCAAGAAACACTACGATTGTTGGCCTTTGATAAGCATGACGGTATTCTAACATTTGGCGGAGGGTGAAGATATGATAAATACATCCTCGACCAGAACGAAGACCAGCCTGCTCCTCGCGAGTCAATCTTTCTCGGGTTTTGAACAACCTACGAAGAATGACGGAAGCCAATAGCTTGGACGCAATTGGAAGTAGACTTTTCCCCCGATAGTTGTTACAGGAACGACGTGAACCCTTTTTAAAGATAGGGACAACTATCGACTCATTCCATGATGCTGGAACACTTTCTAGCTCCCAGATCTTTGTAAATAACATTGTCAGTTCTTTAACCAGAAATTCACCACCATCTTTAAAAGGAGCCGGAGGCAATTCATTTTGGCCCGGTGATTTGTGGCGCTTTAAGAGTTGGAATTCCTTGTACACAACCACGCCAGCGGTAGCTGATCGTGATGTGATCAATCTGAGTCCAGGCTTGAGATGCAGAGGGAGGACGTCAGGTGGCACATCGGCGATGACTGTGCGGGAAGTTAGTGCTAGCCAGAAACGGGTTGTGATCTGTGCACAGTTGCAGTAGACGGTCTCCGTTATCTGTCCTGCGACTGACAAGTCCCCATCGGCCACCTAAACGACTCTCTTCTGTGCCTAGACGCCCGACCTGAGCATTCAAGTCTCCGGCTAGTACTACAATATCTGTCGAACGCACTTTGTGGAGAAGAACAGATAACTGGTGGTAAAACTCATCCTTGATTGCATCCGGGCTGCAATCTGTCGGGGCATAGGCGGAGATGACGAAAAGACATCGTTTCTCACGCTGATTTCTCCTCACTTTGATGGAACTCTCTAATCTAACAGCACATAACCGACTGTTAATGAGAATCCAATCGATTAGTGCTGCCTCAGCTCTAGCGCTTAGTGCGACACTAACGTCAGCAAGACCAGACGAAGATGCCACTGGGTCCCCGGATCTGCATTGTTGTGTGAACGTTGAAGGAAGCCAGTTTGAATGATGCACGTGGTTTCAGAAAAACTGTTTCAGTATTCGTATTCGGTGGTAGCATTGAATTTTCGATCAGTCAGTGACTCGAGAACGTTTAGATAGAACCGAGTTTCCACCATAGGCGAGCTGCTGTATAAGCTGAAAAATAAGGATACTGTTTTGGCCCAAAGCCGCCTATCAGATGCAGCGAATTATCGATCGGACCAAGGGCGCGTAAAACACGTGCGAGCAGCCTAGATTCCTGATTGGTTCTGCTTTCCGCCTAGCCCAGCCAGTTAAGTCCAGAACGCCAGTCCCAGCCTCTGTAATATGAATCGCTATATTTCAAACATACTGTGTTTATATACCAACCAAACAGACCACAACGTACCAATAAAATATGAAACAACATTTGTACAAGAATTAGCCAGATGTGGCTGTGAATGAGGGAGGTAGTATTTAGTATACTGGGTATAACTCAAGTATGTTAAAACGTATAATAATAGTTTATGGGTCAAAATAAAACATAGAATAAGAGGAATATGAATATGCATAGTTTAGTTGCTTAATAATTATATAATAGAAATATATCTTTAGTATTGGTCAATCAATAGATCCCCAAAGTTACCATTTATTATTCTCGCCGGGACATAACAGATGCACAAAGTGGGAATAAAAAAAGTGAATAAGTGAAGTAGTGAAAAAGGAAAAAAATGAATGTGAATTGTCTGACTTTTAATCGAGGTGAGAATAGTATTTTCATCAACTACCGTCGTCTCATTTTATTTGTGTGTGGGCTGTGATACTGCCCCGGTGCCCAGGCCGAAGCAGGTGGTTTTCTTAGGGGGCCGCACCCCGACCTTTGACCTAAAGGTCTGACCCACAAGGCAGTGGAACAACGTGAGGAGATTCAGTCCCACAGTAGCCGGTGACCAACAATTAGTTCATACGCCATTTGTTCCTTCAGGATACTGGAGACCATGTACACCATTGGTTTGGAATTAGGGTTTTTCAACTCCTCTAGATGGATCCCCCATATCCATCAACCCGGTTAAAGCGCCGGACATTCGCGTTTTGTCCTTTCACTTTCGTAAACAACACCCTAGCTGCGAGAAGGCAGTGAGTAGAACTTCCTTGGCAGTGATTGTATGTACGTGACCATGTGAGAGCATTTCGAGAGAAAGAGCTGACTCTCCCCACTCTCAGCCGTACCAGGGCATTTGGGGGCCGGACACCACGTAGAAGATCATTCACGATGGAACTCTGATACAAGCATTTCACTTCTAATCATCAGACGTTTGATTCTAACTGACGTGTGATTCATAGCTCAACGAACAAATATGTACGTAGTTGGTGGCAACCTTCATATTTCTTACCTACTCAAGGAAAAAAGCCTTGATTAACAATCTGTCCTCTTGAGATGGTGGAGAAGATTTGAAGCTCAGGTGGATGATTTTAGTGGAGTTTTGTTCTCTGAGCTGGATGGTTTGGTCGTGGAGCTTTCATCGTTCTTCTCCACGACCAAACCATCCAGCTCAGAGAACAAAACTCCACCACAATCTGTCCTCTTATATAGTTAGGGTTTGAATTAAATGTACATAAAGGGCTGTTTTTAATCAGCGTACCTAATCAAGCATTCAACGCTATTATTATTATTACTATTACTATTATTATTATTATTATTATTATTATTATTATTATTATTATTATTATTATTATTATTATTTATAATACCATAGCATGATCTAGTTACAGAATTTCAGTCCTCTTTATCACAATATACTCACTTTTTTTAGCTCCATTTTTCTTAATTAAAGTCTTAATCAATTTGTAGCTTATGATACGTATCACGTATTTTTACAGAAACTTCAAGTAATGGAAGAGGTCATCCAGGAGATATTTTCTTGGGGGATCTCATTTTCAGAGCTATACATTTACGATTGTCATAACTTATATGATAATTTGAATTTTATTTCTTTTTCGAGATGGATATGATTCAGTGGACAAGTTTTAAGTCTCCTCCGCATTCACACTTACTCATTGTACATATGTCGACCACTAGCTAATTTAATTATTCATTTATTTATTGATATAACTCATTTTTGATTGTATTTGCAGGATATAACAAGAGTAACTCACTTTAGTCTTTAGCTACATCCTGATATGTTTAGACGTTTTTGCCTGATAATTTGTAGGTGACTTTAGATAAAAATTTTTCCCAATTACGATTGCTTGTCCCTTAACAGTTAGTTGGAAAAAGAGGTTGACGAAATCAGGCACCGATGTTACAGAGTCCTTTGGCCAAAAAAAAGTAACACGTACTTTTGAAATTGGTGCACTAAAACAGTACTTTTCTGCAATCTTGAGTACTGGTCTTTTCGATGCTGGACACATCAACAGAGATAAGTTTTAAGAAGGCTTCCCAACTCACACCAGGCTACGAATTTTCAAGTCAATAAGGTTAAATGACACATGTTGCTTTGTAGTAGTAACTGCTTTTGAAAAGCTAGTATTTAATGAATCTAAACTAGTCGGAACCTACAACAAGAATGAACTGCTGAACAATTTAGTGAATGAAAATATGGGAAACATAAGAAAAGTACATTGATATTAGGTGATATAAATCAAAGTTATCCCCACGAACTCAAAATTCTCTGGAGATTATACTATTTAATTATGTTTTCAACTTTTATCACGATTATCTGCGATAAAATAAAAGTGGGTTTTCGAACACCGATGGTTAGTATTTTTTAAAGTCGTATAATTGTGCTATAAAAATATCTGGACAATATTGTTGTTTATGGTTATGCTGCAAATAGATTTATTGTTGTTATCTGAAATGTGACTTTCTGAATCATACCTTGTAGTTCAGTTTATGAAAAATACAATACGGAACATAATAACATTTAATTATTATTTACTTTGTAGATAATTTTGTTTATCTAGATTTTTTTTCATTTCTGTTGTGCCATTTGAAAGCCCACACGTCTCATTACATCTCATAATTATAAAATATTCCGACAGTTGAGGTCAATCAGTTCTTTATATGTTCTGTAACTCAACATTACACTAATGATAAATAAATGATAATGTTCAATGAAAAACTTTTGAAATCCAGTTGTCATTTTGTAAATTTTATGAGACAGTCTTCAGTCTCACGGGTTTGGTGAATATGTTTAAACTTTTAACCCACTTTGGAACTATCCTCTTCTTTGAGTACATTGTTATAAACGTTTTTTTTTCAGATTTAGATCTTACATGTTCAAAAGTTAAATTTTCCATATCGAATGTCACAGATGATCAAAAGTCCAAAAATTCTGAATCAGAATTAGAACAGGTTTTCACCTATAATGATGATCTGAATTTAGATTCAATGTCTCAATCTGGTGCACTTGAATTAGGTGAAAGTCCTATATTTTACAATCGGAAAACGGCATCACCTATATTTTCACCTTCCCAACCACCTAGTCCAAATTGTAAACATCGTTCCACTAATTTACGTCGGGCACGCTCTCTTGCAGATACATCTCGTAAACTTCAATTAAACTATGACGATGTAAATGATGTGATAAAAGACATTGGTAATAAAAATAACAAAGGAGAACCTTGTGATTTTGTTAAAGATGTTAATTTTACCAAAAGTGAATTAGAAGAAATGATAAAATTCGCTGAAAAAGATTTAGCTAATTTATTAAATTTAACCGATACCAGTATCCTGCATGAACATGTTTCACTTACCACTGTTTCATCTGATTTTATACTTTCAAGAGAATGTGAAATGCAATTAGAAATGTATTATGTAATATTTGGAGAATTGAGAGCTTTCCAATCAACTAATGATGGACCTAATAATAATGTAATGGTTGTTTTTGAAATAATGTTTGCTTTTATAAATTGAGGATTATTTAATTTTTAATATTTCTTTTCTCATATGTTATTTCGATAGTTAATTTCACTTACACTTATAACCTATACGTTATTCGTTTTTTTTGGTATATCCTTATTAGTTATGTGAATAAGATACTTATATTTCAATGGAACAACGGTTTGGTAAACCAGATTAGTATTACTGGTTTTCAGATATAAAGGTGTTTTATCATTTAGATTCATAATTCACATGTCTGTGCAAGTAGTACACCAGATCGCATAACGTACTACAGTTTATAATTTACACTAGGTATATAATTAGGTTTTGTTACAAATCAATGTGTAAGTCACATATTGTTAACTATTCTTCAATGGGTAAGCGGTATAACAATAAGTAATAGGTCGAAAGGCAACTTTCAAATTAAACTATGTAAAGAATATGTCGTATAATAACTTTACTAAATACTCATTGAAAGTAGACAAGTTAATCGAATAGAGAGTATGACTAAGGAAGTTTCATATGTTACTTTTCACACTCTAACAACTAATCAATCATTGAGCATTGACCAATGTCGCGTTAGTTTGGTCCTTTTAGTGTTCATTGAACTCTGTCGATCAAGTTACCATGTGGCAAGAGTTTCTGGCCAACTACCTTAATCTAACTGACATTTTCAAGAAAGTATGCAGTGTTTAATCGCCTAGATTACTGGCTATGCTACATCTAGCCCCCAGATGCCGAGGGTGGGGAGAGTCAGCTCTTTCTCTCGAAATGCTCTCACATGGTCACGTACATACAATCACTGCCAAGGAAGTTCTACTCACTGCCTTCTCGCAGCTAGGGTGTTGTTTACGAAAGTGAAAGGACAAAACGCGAATGTCCGGCGCTTTAACCGGGTTGATGGATATGGGGGATCCATCTAGAGGAGTTGAAAAACCCTAATTCCAAACCAATGGTGTACATGGTCTCCAGTATCCTGAAGGAACAAATGGCGTATGAACTAATTGTTGGTCACCGGCTACTGTGGGACTGAATCTCCTCACGTTGTTTCACTGCCCTGTGGATTAGACCTCTAGGTCAAAGGCTTAGGGAGTGGCCCTCCTAAGAAAACCACCCACTTCGATTCGGGCACCGGGGCAGTATCCTAGCCCTTACACAAATCGATTGATGAAGTGTGGCGCATATATTTGGTGCCTCGTGCCAATGTTTATGTGTTTAAATAAATAAGTAAATAAATTGGTCAATAGAATTTGACCAACATTGAAACGACCGGATAAACCTGAAACTACTAACTACTCAATGATCTCTTTTCAACGAATTTATTATCAAGCTGTACAATCGTATATATATGAAAATTTTGTTTTTGTTATTGTTATTATTCATATTACGTAATCTAGTATTATAACCTTTATATTAACTGTTTTCACATTTCCTCACGGAATTAGTACTTTTACAAAAACAAAATTTTCAGATATATACGATTGTACAGCTTGATAATAAATTCGTTAAAAAGAGATCCCTTCGCTGAAATTCGTGTTTTAATTTTAATACTCAATGATCAGCCAATTGTAAGTAACTTGTACAGAAAGTTGTTCGCGGCTCAAATACCTCAGTGGGCACTGTCTCAGAATATGAAGCTAGGTGACATGGAATATAAGCCGCTAGTGGGTACCAGTTCCTTAAGAGTACTGGTGAATCTTAGTAGCGAGTGCCAAATAGTACGAAACCTAGGTTCAGAGTTTCCTATCAGCTGCTTCCAACTACTTAATATTTTCTCACTATCAAACAAACATACATAGCAGAAGTAGTCTTGATAAAAGTTACCCATGTAAATCTAAATGTAATTCGACATAATTCTTTATTTAACTGGCATCAATAAATGCAAACCCATTAATGAATGATAAAACCATCAAAATATATCAAGTATGAAATTAATGATTATTTAAAGTATAGTAGCGAAATGTAGTTTTCAGTTTTAAATATGTATAATTGTTGCTTAGGAAAAAGATTTCTGTGCCAAAAATCCGAGCGTATTACTACTGCCTTGATTGGTGATAAAATAATATTTAAATCGCCAAGAAATCACGGAACTGGAAATGTTTTTTACTCGCCATAGATATGTATAGATGTCTTTAAAAATATTCGATTAAACTAATCAGAGTATGGTATTCATCTTTCACTCCATACAATGTATCAGCATTCCTGTGGTTTTGTGATTTATATGAAGACCAAGTTAAGATATTCTTTTATTGAGTTATCATTCCTTTTTACATGATTTTTCTTCCTTTCAGTTAATACAACTTCTTATTCAAGTACAAGTTTCTAAACTTACCTTGCAGTCATACTTTTCCATTTTTAAGTTAGTAACCCTACCCGGCTTCCCAAGTATAATGGTTAGACGTTCAAGTTGTTCTATATGTGTTTATATTGGGGCGAATGGTCATTTTCTCTGACCAGCATACAAAATTTGTCGATTAAATCTGTGTTTGATAGATTTATTTTCATAACTAAATTATTGATAAGTTCTCATGAAATGTAAACCTTGCAAGTACCTTCCTAAATAAGAATTATAATTCCAAACTTTAGGAGCCTTAATGTTCCACCAGGTATTATGATTTTATTATTTTCATCCGCTCTTTTACTTACCATTTTATGAACGGTTTATACGAAGTTGAACTGATTCTAGTTACTTGAAAGTGGCTGTCTGTGTTTCCTGTGAATTAATTTGTAATAAATGCGTGAGTATGAAAATCATCTTAGTTAATTTATAAAAGACGAAAAGCAATTTTAATCATTTTTATTTTCAGTTATACAGTTTTGAATGAACTGTATTCAAATACTTGGAACCGTAGTTCAAACCTCACTTCACTTTTGTTTATTTAGTCAAGTAATATCATACTATCCATCAAACAAGCAGCATAACTTAAAGCCAATTACAGAAAAAGCAGCTTTGTTAAACCCTTTTTTTAACTAGACAGATTCGTAACTTTTAGCACTAAATTGAGATAATCAATTGATGTTCGCCTTACGAAATGCCAGCAATAGCAATGTAATATCTGATCAACCTACGTAAGGCTCCCAATATCTCAGTGAGACGTGTTCAGTTCCTAAATTTGAAGTCTTTTCATATAATTGAATCACAAATAGCTTGATAAATTTCATGCCACCACATTCATATGGTTCGAGAAATTCAAGTACAGATGTTTATTTTGGCAGACTAGGCTGAACCACTTTAATGCTGTACAACTAATGTATTCACCGTATATAGTAAAGAACAACTTAGTTATGTTTTAATTAACTTTTCATCTACTATGCATTCAAAACAAACGATTTAAATAACTAATGCTATCACTGACAGCTACCATTATAATACGATGTGTATTATTGCAGAGTGGGGGTGTATTTGGAGTAATATCAAGGATTGCCCACTGAGAATCCAGACATTTTAGGATATAAACCGAAGTTTTACGTCTAGTGCGAAAACTTTCTGGTTCAAATCCAACTAGAAGCAATGCAATTTATGACGTTAGGTATTAATCACTGGAACATTCCCATTATATTAAAACAATTGTATGAACGAAGAATATTCTTTTCAATAATTTCTCATCAGGTTCTACAATTATAAATCCAAATTAATAATCCATAAAATTGGCCAGATTTAAGACAGAGTACATCATTTGGAAATTGTAATATGTGAATTGAGAATTGTTGTTTGCTATATAAAATCAATTCAGATCATTTATCGCACAATTGCATTTCGCTTATAAACTGATTCAAGTTAACACTTTATACTAAACAGCCCCAACATTAACGATCTGAATTGATTTTATATAACAAACAGCAATTCTTAATTCACATATTACAATTTCCAAATGATGTACTCTGCCTTAAATCTGGCCAATTTTGTGACGTTAGATATCTTTGTTGTTCCCTTAGTTCTTTAAGAGATATATTCATTGTAGTTTGTTTCAACCAACTATGTACCATGTTTTTAAAATATCGTTAATCTTCACGTGTTTAAAAATTATCAATTCAGTTATTGCTTGGATTATTGCTCAGGTCATTACAATGTTTAGATGTGGACCGGGAAAAGCAGTTGGACTTTTGGGACTGATAACCGGTGAACCAAATATTTATGGCGTACAAGCTACGACAAAAACTATTGTAGCTGTTTTATCCCGTGAGACATTTTACTCTGTAGTTCGTCAATATCCTAAGGCTTTGTTCAGTGTTACTCATATTATTTCTTCTCATTTATCACCGTTATTTCATCAACTTGATTTTGCCATAGAATGGTTGTCTGTTAAATCAGGAAAGGCTTTATATAAGTAAGTAACAGTCAATCATTTTCTTACCAAAATATGTTTTCGCGTTTAGTATCTCTATTTATTGTTGTTCTTTTGTTATTATTGTACAGCTGATTGTATGCTTGATAGCGAAAGTTCATACAATTTTCACACCGGTTTCGTAAACTGATTTACTCACAGGTCTCAAGCGTCTTATTTATTTAGTTATTATTTTATCCGGCAAATGCATCCGAACCGTTGCATAATTTATTCTATTGAATTATGTTTGTGATTCTTTTTTCATTCGGTTAATCGAAAATCTTAAGTATTGGAAGAAAATACAAACAAGCAAGTAATATATAAATAAAAATAATATATAGTTATAATGTTATCAGTCAAATAAAATGATGTATACAAAGTCATTATTATTCTGCTTTTATGTGTCTTTTCTCAAATAGTGTCCCTGTATTTGTAAATGTACTCATACCTCAAACAGTTGTGCGTTATTTTGCTGTGGTCGTTGAGTCTCTGGATGTTCCACTCGCTTTGAATACCAGTATTTGATGAATGGATTTAGATAATGGTGGTGTGAATCTATTGCCTGGAGCAAGACTTCTCGGCCTTGAGTATGCGGTGGTACCCAGGCAATACAATCTGCACTTAATCGGTTGGCAATCAGTCTCCGTAGGTACGGTAGGTGCTTTGCACCTTCGAAGTGCAAACTACTTTTACAAGACTGACAGGATCCTGATCCTGCACTCACCCTGAGTGGTGAGCAGATAGAAGTAGTCGAGAAGTTCGTGTATCTGGGTAGCTACACAAGTGCTGGTGGTGACGTGAGTGATGAGATCAATGCACGTATAGTGAAAGTCAGAGAGGATTATGCCAATCTCGGCCATCTTTGGCGCCTTCGTGATTTTAGTCTGGCTGCAAAAGGTCGGATCTACAACGCGTTGGTGAGAGAAGTTTTGCTCTATGCTTGGGAAACCTGGCCTCTCCAAGTTGACGGTGTTAGATGACTCTCTGTGTTCGATCAACGTTGTCTCCGAAGGAATGCTGACATCCAGTGGCAACACCATGTTAGTAATGCAGAGGCTCGGCGTCGTGTGTTCGGGCACAGCGACGATAATGCAATTGGTGTCACTATCTTGAAACCTCGACTTAGACATTTTATGGCTTAGACATGTTCTACGAATGTCGTCCCAGAGAATTCCACGTCGTGCATTATTTGCCGACTCTGGGACTGGTTGGGAAGAGCGGAGAGGTGGTCAGTGTATGACATGGTGTCGTGGTATGAAAGAAAGCTGCAAAGGGCTGGCTTCTGTTGGTCCATCTCAACTCCCTGGCTGGAGTTCGAGAGATGGTGCAACACAGTAGATAGAGACGTTATCAGATATTGCTCAGAATAGAAGCCAGTGGTGATCCTGCTGTAACCTTCTTTTATTTTCCTCATAAAAAGTGGTTGTAACTTCCTTAACTGAAAGAATTTTTTCTCGTTGTACCTTTCCGTTTCCCCCATCTTTACTATTATTACTATTATTATTATGGCATAACCATATACTAATCTGTGGTTGTTATTGTTTTTTTCTTTCTTATACGCACCTTACATTCTTCTTCTCTTCCCATTCTCATTGTTTTGTGTGGCGCATATATATCTGGTGCCCCCTTGTACCAATATTTATGTGTTCAAATAAGTAAAATAAAATATTGGTGTCCGACAAGGCTGTCCACTATCTCCATTTTTGTTCAACTTCATCATAAACATACTGATGGAAACAACGTTCTCGTCCACTAATTTTTCAGGAATCGATCTCCTACCAGGAAGTCCACTTATCGACTTAGAATACCCAGTTTACGCTGATAAAATGCAGTGTTTTGGTAGCACTGAACAACAATACCAGTATATTTGAGACTCGTTTCTCCACCTCTAAATGCAAGTTGTTGGTTCAGGACTGGCCCGCATAGTTACCTGAACTAAGATTAGGGAGTGTAGTAATCGAACTCGTCGACAACTTCATTATCTTGGAAGTCTGATCAGCCCGTATGTGTTGGTGTCTGACGAAATCTCAGCACGGATTCGAAAAGCTCGTTTTGTTTTTGACAACTTCTATCAGTCAGTTAGTCATTAACAACGTAGAACTTCGTACGTACGTACATCATTTCGAGTTGCCACACCACATTAGCACAGAGATGCAGTGGTCGATTCAAATCCCGTGGTAGAGGTAATAATAGTATAAGCAGTAATCGGGAAGATTAGTGCTTGGAGATGTTATTTAAAGAGTATAATACAGTGAAATAAATTTGGGAAGAGAAAAAAGAGACAAGGAGGAATCAGGAGATCAAAATTTGGGAGAACACAAAGAGTGTATGCACCTGCGCCATTGCAAACGATTTTGAGCCATGTCATTCAGGGTCTTTAACCATCGGTTGCTATCATCTCGCGGTCCCCAACCAGGTAGTCTACACCTACCAACATGACTCAGTCTACTTGTCAGTGACTTCATGGACTTGTGCCATGTTTTGGTCTGGTCGCCCCTAGCTTTCTTCCAACCTATTCCTATACCACTGAACATCGCACATCGAGGAAGTCGGTGGTTGGGCATACATAACACGTGTCCCAGCCATCTCAACTGATGAAGTTTTACCACTTCTATGTGTTATGATGTGAGTCCATGGTCGGAGATATTCGACATATAAATGTCATAGTCATTTATTTATTAGTATCTCCTTAATGGAATTCCAAATCCAATTTTTATTCAGTGTTTTCAATCTATGTGTACTGATAAAATTTACCCAAAATTGTTCCGAAAAAGAGAATGTTTTAGTTTCTGAAACATGGATATCTTGTACATTTTCCTATTTATTTCCGGTAAATGGTGACTTCGTTTGTGATCTGTTGTGCATCAAGTGTCTTCTTACAATTGTAGAAATACCTTCAATTTCATAGCTTTGTAGGAAAAAAATGTTCACTAATGGAGGTAGAAAATTTTGACGTATAATTTACTCTTAGTGAATTGTTTCACTCCCTATTATCATGATTATTTTATTCAGAATGTATTCCATTACATATAATGTTATTTTCTTGCTTTTTAGGAAAGGAGAAATCGCAAATCATGTATATGTTGTTTTAAGTGGTCGATTAAGACAAGTCGACAATATGCCTGATGGAGGTCATCGTATAGTCAGTGAGTTGGGGCGTGGTGATCTCGTTGGTTTTCTTGAAGTCATTAGTCAGCAAACACGAATATCTACAGTTATGGCGATTAGGTATGGGAATTGCCTTGATCTCTTCACTTAAACTAATCAACTTCTTAATCCCTTTTCTTCCTAGTGATAATGAACTACATTTCCTTGACTAATGGAAACATTTATAACCATAATTCATGGTCGGTGTTTCTTGTTAAAATAAATACTTACGAATGTTAGTCAATTGCTTATCCAATACAGATCTTATTCTTGTTAAATCGTGTTAAAAAAATAATATTCTGTTTCTGGATCCGTTTAACTAAGAATATCTGCGTTGTAATGATTCATTTGAAATATATCTGTGAAGACAGTCCACGGGTGAACTCGAGGAAGCCCTAAGAAGCTCAGAAAAAGCCGATAATATTTTATCCAACCATCTTGTGGGAGAATATTCCAGAGTCCCTATGTGGAGCTTCCCTATTGGACAAATGCTAATAAGCGAATTGGTGGACTATAATGATGATTTCGTTTTTACTAAAAACCATAAATACCCGACAGCTTTGTACCACAATTGATACTGTTTGGAATACCATTCCTTTCACTTGTCTTCTGTTTTCTCATTTGCGACTTGGGAGTGTTCTAGCGTCGAGTGCTCAAGTTATACGCGGCATAGTAAAAATCTAAGCTCTAGATATAGCAAATCTCCTACACTCTTGCAACGTTTCTCAAGGGGTATAGAAGACTACAGTTTGTTAGCATCTTCAACGGACAAAATTATGTCATTGATTGTTACTCTAAACCACCATATCTGTAGGTGTAGACCTAATGGTTAAAGCCCTCACAATTGCCGTAAACTATATTTTGCAGTATTGGATTACATGGTCTTAAATCGGTAGCATTATTTCAGTTGCCCTCAGTATCTTTCTCCTAATTTTGAGTTTACTGTCATTCCATACTTTCCATTCATCTATCTCATTTGTTTTCTTTAGTCCGTATTTCTCATATTTGGATTAATATTTTGCGTAGTGTCATTTCTTTTTCTGTGCTTTTCGTTTTATTGGTTTTCTCTATCTGTTTCTATGCTGATGTTAGTTCTTTCAACTTGACGAATACATATTCACTCAAGATTGCTCATGGTTTATCAATGATTAACTAATTAATATAACATGCAGTAGGAACTATAGGCAAAGATGGATGGTGGCTAGCAGTGGAGTCCAGGATGCTCATTTCGTCCTATCTTGGACTCGTTAGCTGGATGTATTTGTATCCCAGTGTTGATGTTCACTTCGGACTCGAAACCAGTACCATTCACCTTAAACACCATCGCATTATCTAGTTAGCTACTGAGTCCTGATAGCCATTAGCTTGTGCAGCTTGATGAAGTTTAAATTCATTTTATATTGTTTATTTGAATCTTCTCATTGATGTTTAGGACTGCAATTGATCAGTCTCCTATTAGCATATATACATCCTTTGCGAACTGCTTCGATATTGCCTTAAGTTCGCAGGATGCACATATGCTAATGAGAGACTTATTAATTGCAGTCCTAAATATCTATGAGAAGATTCAAATAAACAATATAAAATAAATATGAAATAGAACTTCTGTATTAATTATAATAATTGTTTTTAAATGATCTTTAATGATGAATACCAGTTAAAGTACTATTTCCTTTCGAAATATTTAGTTAATAATAATTTTATTGTAATTTGGAAGAATAATATTCAGGTGATTATTTGATAATAATACACGTGTTATAACAAATGATATTTATTTAATAAAATTCTTATTTCATTTTGTTATCACGAATTATTGTGAATATTGACTAATGAAATTTATTTACTTTATCATTGAAAGAATAAACTAATTATTACTTCAATAGTTGAAATCATGAGTCAATTGAAGCTAGACCACCATGGAAAACCTGGACGGCCTTTTCGTCCTAGTATGGGACTCCTCAGCAGTGCGCATCCACGATCCCGCCTCCCGCGAGATTCGAACCCAGGACCTATCGGTCTCGCGCGCGTGCGCTTAACCAACTAGACCACTGAGCCGGCATTCAACGGTGTTATTGTCTAACTTCAACCAATCCGCGAAATTGCGCCACTGTACACCATTGTCTATTTTTTTCTTACATAGGATAAATAGAAATTATCTTTGTTAAGAGTAAACAAAAAATGGGATGCTAAATCAATCAATCAAATAAAAATAAAGCATATTTATTTTGTAAATTCTCTTTTCCATGATATACATTTAGATTGTATTTTTTTACAATTGTCAACAAGGAGTTTTAAGCTATTTTGTGAAAATACAATATGAAAAGATTATTTCTAATGTTTTCTTTTAGATGGTGAAAAAAGTTTGTTAGCTAGTGATTATGGTGTTCTGCATAAGAACAATGAAAGTTCCATGATTGAATTATCCAAACTAAAGATAGAAAATTCATCAAAATTCTATCTTCTTTTTTTATTTTAAAAAAAATAGTTTATACATTACTGAACATCACATCGATTAGTAGTGGTAAAAATATTTCAGAAATATAGTTTTTATTTATACATTTATGAATAATTTTCTTTTCTTTTTAATTTTATAAAATAGAGATTCAGAATTAGCTCAAATTCCTTCACATTTACTTCATCATCTTAAGAATAAATTTCCACAAGTTTTAACTCGTATTATTCAATTATTATCGGATAAATTATTGGGTAATTTAACAACTAGTTCTAGTACGGCTAGTCAATTGGGTATGCCACTTCTACATATGACTAGTACAAATTCTTTACTTACTGGTGGATTAGGTTATACAACTGGTGAGAATTCCAAATTGGATGTTTTATATAGTCCATTGAATAGTGGTGTTATGACTAATCTACGTACAATCGCTGTATTACCTACTACAACTGACATTAATGCTGAGGCATTCACTTTGGAATTACAACATTCTATGAGTTCGATGGGATCATCTGTTCGTCTTACTTCAGGTACTTAATGATTTTTCTACTTCATCGTAATTTAATTTATATTGGTAAACTTGAATGGATTTCTTCTATGTTTGTTGGTTTTCATGTGTTTACAAATTTATAGGTTTATTTTTGTTGTTGATAAATTGATTTCAATAAGATTTTGTGTTATCATTATTTATTGAATTTGAATACTATTTCACGTATTTTGTTAATTTCTTTCCTGCTTAGTACGAATATCTTGTTTGGCATATTCATTTTTATAGATTCTGTTTACTTGTTGAGATGATAAATAAAACACTGGTCGATTTATAATCCTACATGATACAATGTGATTGAGTAATAAGCTCTAACGAGAATAAATCCTCTGGTTTTTTGTATTCTTCGAAACTATCTAACTTCATGGGTTATTGAGTATATTCCATTTTCTGTTCTTTCATCCAACAAGATTGAACGCTTTATTATGAAATTATATGATAAAATAGAAATGATTAGTAGTTACTGGGCGTGTGGTCAGTTCACATGAAATACTATCCAAAGATTTTTGAATATAGAATGAGTTTTGGAATCAGGTTTCTGTACGTCTTATTGATTCGTATACATAAAAATAGTTCTTTTCGAGAAGTGTAAAGTACTCATTTTACATTATTTGATGGTAAATTTACTTACTGTTGATCGGTACATGTGTGCCATAAGACATTTGACCTAAAGCTTCAAATAGTCGGTTACTTTCCATCACGGACCGAAACTAGCTTCGGAAAACAGTTGTATCACTTAATCGTTTCATTTTCTAGCTTTAATCTCGTCCGAGGTACACAGCTATCACATTTCTATAAATGGAACTCGCTCAATATTGGAAACTAACTTCAAACAGTAATATCCACATACCCCTTACATTAATATTAAAATGTTAACTGGTGACTAGCTTTGAGAATTATCGATGTTCCGGTAAAGAGCCTTGAACCATGGAGTTCACGTATATCAAGATTAGGACAGGAATTACTGATTGGGTTAAATGATACTGATGCTACGTTTCAAGTTGACTGAATATTGGTTTCTGACTGAATGGTTTAAAAGCTTTGTGCTCCCAGCAAGACCTGTAGTCCTTGCTTTTTTTTCTGAGTTTGAGAGTAAGGATTGCTGTGGAGTTCCAAATTGGGAAAAAAGAACTATTCTGTGCTCTATGATTTTCACTGGTTCGGTAACGTATTTCAATTTCTGATAATGGCCAAATTAAAAATGAAATATCCCTAAGGAATTACTTACTCTTTGAAAATTTAGAACTTTAGTGTATTTTGATGTATAAATCCGAATACTATTTTTCGGGCCTTATTCAATTTACTTATCATACCCAACCCAGTAGCTGTGTATGATTACTTAATAGATTTATTCTAAAGTTTCGAATTCTATGCGTAAGTTACAGAAACAATTATTTCTATTAAATTACATCGTTTCAGCACGCAATAAGTAATTACAATTTTTCATATCCATTCATCGTCACATAAACTAAATATTTAGGTATTTATTGACATCATATTTAACATTCCTTTCAATGATTAAAAAGTTATTTTAATGTATTTATTAGCACTTTATATGCTAACATCAATATCCATCATTTATACATAAGATTCTAATTAATTATTTTTAATAAATGTATTCAATAATCTGAAACTTTTTCGTGTTATGGTATGATTTTTCATTTTACTTTCTATTAAATTATGTTCTGTGTTATTCGATATATGTGTGTAATATATATTTATTTATAGTAATGTACAAATGTTTACAACATAACTGTGCATAGTTTAACACTTTCTTATCAGCTAGTGATCATATCACAAGTTATCAATATTCACATGCGACGTATATATATATATATATATATATATATATATATATATATATATATATATATATATTCAGTGATATTTACATTAACTCGTCTTACATGCGTATTGTTTTTGTCATTTTTCACATCATTCGAGCAACGATAATACGTAGAATACCATTGTTTGTTTTTCCAAAGGTCATATTCTATTGATAAACATTGATTGTGGGTTTTTTTAAATAGTTTGTACAAAATTGAAAGTAATGATTTTGTAACGAGAACAATGCTTTTGGAATTAAGAAGTTTGAACGATTACACGTAGTGCATTTAATTCATTTTTCCTCTCCACCGATTGTAGCCCAATTTTTATAATCATATAATATATAGTTGTCTGTCTTTAACGGATTTTACTAAATATAAACCCAGTTTTCTTCCACTGAACATATTCTAGGTTAACTCTAATTTAGAACTTGTACAAAGATGTTGCCTAATAGTTGAAGAATTCAACCAATAGGTCTGAAGCTCGAATCTTGTTTGTTTATAATTGTGTATTGTTATTGTTATAGTATAGCCTACTTTAGTACTTTTGAACGAGATTGTAAATTCTTAAGGAGGGACATTGGTGGTAATTCACTTAATTTCTGGCTGTCATCAAATATCAATATCACACTAATCAAATTTCTAAAATTATTAATTTGTTCTTGGAAAATGTTATAATTCTATTCAAAAAATTAAATGTAAACTTTCGATGTTTGTTTTCGCAGTTGTCACCTATTTAAGAATATGTATTTTTCTTGAGTAATTAAAATAAGATTACACTAGCTTAATTTAAATTGGATATCTCTGTTATCTCTTTGATATTTTAATCCTTTGTCCTTCACTGAAAATAAATCCAATTAGATTACTTAATATTCTACTGATTATTTTCATATTGTACACATCGATTTTTTTAATTAAATTTTATAACCAATGAAATAAGACGGATTTGTCCCTAGTTTGCGTTTTTTGATTATATTTCGTTCTCTCTTTTTCTCACAATTGCTATGAATAATCTGTAAAAGATTAAGTGACCACATTAAGACTCTAACTATACTAATTCGTCTTTTTTTAATAATTACGATTGCGTGTATTTATTTGTTTAATTTTTAAGTTCCTAGTTAAAAAAAGTATACCCATGATAAACTAGAATAAAACACTTTAACATTGGTTATCATCCATATTGTCGTCATTATTATGAGTATGGTCATTCGTAGCATCTTAATTGATGTTAGGCAGTTGAAGGCATTCAAGAAAATTTTAAGGATTTAGATTTAATACTAATTGTAACTCATCGATATGGTGTATCTGAAATGTTGAAAGGATTGTTGTTCCCTGTTAGATTTGAACCTATCTTACTGAGTGCCAAAATCATTGATGAAACTACTGATATAATCTGGCTGTAATTGAATTGCTGTAGTAGGCCACTAGTTAGTCTCCTAGGTGTGGGGAGTCATGTACCACGAAACACATCAGTTTATACAAAATTACAGATACTCCTTACTGGCAAATACCAACTAGTCTGAAACTAAGGTTTATCTCTTCGAACTGATTTCCCCTAATTGTCTAATGCTAAATAAAGTACTATTCAATATGAGACACATTAGTCAATGTTCACATTTCTACTTGATCAGTAGCCGCTCTATAAACTGTTAACAGTATATAATAGTGCATTGGTTACTATTTAGTGATCAATTAGTGTATCGCCCTTTCCTAATAATATTCTTTGGCGACATAGGTACCCAATAAAAATGATACATAAACTGTCATAAACCCGACAAACGAGTGTTATTTTGCTTAATTCTTCTAACAACTTTGTTTAATCTAATATCTTTGCTTTTTGTTGTTTTGTACATAGATATCGTACTGAAACGTTTAGGTTCATGCGCATTCGATAGCGTTAGCCAGTATAGACTTAGTACTTGGTTAAGTCATCAAGAAGACTCACATCGTATTGTTTTCTTTGTTTGTGACTGTCAGCGAGTTTCAGCCTGGAATCGTATATGCATTCGTCAAGCTGATTGCATTTTGGTTTTAGCTTTGCATTCGTCTGATCCAGCGCGTCCCTCACCAATAGAGATGGCATTAAAAAATGACCCAACGAAGGTGAGTCCGTTTTTTATGTAGTGTAATGCTGGTTACTTGTGCGTTTTTCATGGGAATAAAAAACATCCTATTTGTTGTTTTCCCTTTACATAGGTTGCCAAAGTGCTTATTCTTATGTATCCTTTAGATACAGATTATACAGAATCCGGTAAAACTGCAGTATGGTTAAATGCTCGACCATGGATTAGTCAACATTATCATATACGCTGTGAACCTCGTGTATTTATACCTCGTTCAAAGTTGAATCTCATCAATTTTTATACTCAAGTATTTGCTCGTGAAAAACCTAATCCACTATCTGATTTCTCTCGTCTTGCTCGTTACATAGTAGGTGAAGCTGTTGGTCTTGTTCTAGGCGGTGGAGGAGCAAGAGGCTGTTCACATGTTGGACTGATACGTGCTTTTCAAGTGAGCAATTGCTTTTTTATAAATTTTGATAACATTTACGTATGCCTTACACTTCAGTAGTAATGTTAATAACTAGATTGTATTTGTAAAATCTAGTAACTACTTTGTTTATGTTGAAATTCGTTTTTTAAGAAATACTACTACGGTTGCTACGAGTAACTGGAGATGTAATGTTTCAGTAAATAAGTACAAAAATAAATTATCTGGTCAGTAAAAATAATTTTGAAGTTTTCGCTTAGTTTAAGCTTTTTCAGAAATACCTATAAAAATGTGTTACTTCTCATTGTATCACAGGCTAAGAAATAGTTTCGTATTTCCATATACATTGTAAGTTTACAATCTTCCGTGTTTTAATAATATATCAAAAATCAAAGCAGTAAAGTCTTTAAAAAAGGTACAAGTTTATATTCTGTTGAGAAACCAATGTTATGTTTTTCAAACACTTCTAAAGCTTATGGTGTGTAAGTAACTACTCATATTTCTCTTGTTAGTAACTGATTAATGTAAGTAACAATAAAAATAGATAGGGGATATATTGATATTTTAATGAATCGGTAGACGATTAAAACGAACTTATTCTCGCCATTTGCATCAATCTGTTGGGTCGGCTTCCGGAGAACTTCAACGGAGCCTCCAGAGGCCCAAAAGGAGCCGAAGAGTCCTAGTCAATCAGAGTGTGATGGAACGTTCCGGAATTCCAACATGGCGTGCGACTATTGGTCGGTAGCATAATGTGTTGTTATCGGATTGGCTGTAAATTGATGTTGATTTAACAGACGCCAAAATCTATAAATACCCATGATTTTCTGTATAAAGTGCTTTCTCTCATTCTTGTGTCTTCTCTCTGGAGTTCAAGTCGCTGTGTAGTTCTAGACTGCGGGTTTCGGAATAGCTTAGGAATCGTATATAGCGTTCAACCTACACGACTTATCAGTGGCGACGGGGATGAAAACTTCAATGAATATTTCCTTGGAGCAATTAGAAGCTTATATGGTGCGTCAAGAAAAGAGGTTTGAAGAGTCCCATATTAGAATCATGGAAACCCTGATGCAGAAATTCTGCCTGTCCGAGAAAAACCCTGCTTCTAGTGAATCTCAAGTATCACATACTGATTCAGTCATTAACGCCATCCATGAATTTAATTTTGATGGTGTAGCAGGTGTAACTTTCGAGTCGTGGTTTAAGAAGTATGAAGATTTGTTTTATATTGATCTTTGCAAACTGGATGATGCTTCAAAAGTCAGAATACTTCTTAGAAAACTTGGAACTATGGAACATGAATGCTATAGCAACTTCATTCTTCCGAAGAACCCACGAGATTTTAGTTTTGATGATACAGTCAAAACCCTATCCCAAATCTTTGGAGAACAATCATCTCTATTTAATATCCGTTACCAGTGCTTAAAGTTAACGAAAGAACCAGGAGATGACTGGGTGAAGCATGCAGGAACTGTGAACCGAGAATGTGAGAGATTTAGATTGTCGTCCATGTCTGAAGATCAGTTTAAATGCTTAGTATTTATCTGCAGCCTGCGTTCACCCGAAGATGCCGATATCCGAACCAGAATCCTAAGCAAACTCGAACACTGCCCTAATATGACCCTGCAAGAAGTGACTACTGAGTGCCAAAGGTTAGTAAACTTAAAGCATGATACCTCAATGGTAGAAAACGGTAACTGTTTCCATAACGTCAATGCAGTCAAGAGAAAAGTCTTTCAAGGTTCCAGTACCCAGAATTTCCAAAATAACAGCGACAAACCATCATCTCCATGCTGGGCATGTGGAGGTTGGCACTATAAGAGGTTTTGCCCATATAAAGAACATCGTTGCAGCAAATGTAATCGGAAGGGGCATAAAGAAAACTTCTGCAGGAGGAGAGACTATAGAAAACGTTCCGTGAAATCTTACTCAAAGAAATACAGATATAGTGCTTCAACCAACAAGATATTGGTATCACATAACAGAGCACGAAGTTGCCACCAAAGAAAGTATGTGACCTTGAATATTAATAAACACCGTGCCCGCCTTCAGCTGGACACAGCTTCTGATATTACTTTAATCAGCCCAGAAACGTGGAAGAACATTGGGAGACCCACAGTTTTCCCAACAACACAGCTGGCACACAGTGCATCTGGGGGGAAGTTGAATATTGTTGGAGAAGTGCCATACACTGTTTCTAAAGGCACGGTAACAACAAATACAACATTGTATCTTACTAAGAAGCCAGCACTAGACTTAATGGGGTTAGACCTTACAGAAACACTTAAACTAGCAGATCATTCTATCAACAGTATCTGCAGACGAGTAAGTACAGACAACATCCCAGAATGGAATCAGAAAAACGCCATGCTACAAAGACATCAAAACGTGTTTAGAGAAGGATTGGGAGAATGCACGAAAGCCAAAGCATTGTTGACTCTAAAACCTGAAGTTGCTCCCGTTTTTCGACCTAAAAGACCCGTACCCTATGCTGCTCTACCAGTGGTTGAACAAGAACTAGAACGACTTCAGAAACTAGGTGTCATTGAACCAGTGAATTTCTCAGAATGGGCCGCACCGATAGTAGTAGTAAAGAAGACTAATGGTAGCGTCCGTTTATGTGCCGATTACTCAACCGGGTTGAATGAAGCCTTAGAAACTCATCAGTATCCATTACCCTTACCTGAAGATCTTTTTGCTAAACTGAACGGAGGTAAGCTTTTTGCAAAGTTGGATTTATCAGAAGCTTATTTACAAATCCCTGTTGCTGACGAGTCTAAAAACCTGCTTACCATAAACACACACAAGGGTCTATTCAGGTATAATCGATTACCCTTTGGAGTCAAGACGGCCCCATCCATATTTCAGCAAATAATGGATACTATGCTACAAGATGTTTCAGGTGCTGCAGCTTACTTAGATGATATAATAATTATGGGAGTAGATAGAGTAGACTTAGAAAAGAAGCTTGACCACGTGCTGACACGAATAGCCGAATATGGACTGCGACTTCGTCCAGAAAAATGTGACTTCTGTATGCAAAAAGTACGCTACCTTGGGTTTATAATCGATAAAGATGGAAGAAGACCAGATCCGGAGAATACCCAGGCAGTGAAAACTATGCCCAGACCGACGGATGTCCCCACACTACGATCCTTCTTGGGACTAGTTAGCCATTATGGAGCTTTTATTCCAAACCTTCATCAATTACGTGCCCCCCTGAATAACCTTCTGGTGAAGAATGTAAAATGGAGTTGGTCTGCAACTTGCCAAGCCGCTTTCGATGAAATCAAGAAAGTACTAGTCTCGGATCTGCTGCTCACCCATTACGATCCATCCTTACCCATTGTAGTGGCATCAGACGCATCAAACTACGGCATAGGAGCAGTTATTTCTCACATCATGCCAGATGGATCCGAGAAAGCGATATCACATGCGGCTAGATCGTTAACGTCAGCAGAACGTAACTATAGTCAGATCGAGAAGGAAGCATTGTCGATTATCTTCGCTGTCAAGAAATTTCACAAGATGATATTTGGACGTCAGTTCACCCTATTAACTGACCATAAACCATTACTAGCCATCTTTGGGTCGAAGAAAGGTATACCTGTATACACCGCAAACAGACTGCAACGATGGGCAACTACACTTCTGGGTTATGACTTCAAGATCAAGTACCAGCCCACTACTGACTTTGGACAAGCTGACGCTTTATCTAGACTGATTGGTTCACAAGTAAAACAGAAAGAAGACACTTTGGTGGCAGCAATCGAGACTGAAACAGAAGTACATCGAGTTTTGGAAGACGCAGTTGATGGTTTACCGGTTACTTTCAAGGCCATTAAAGAAGCCACGGAAAATGACAAGACTTTAAGAGAGGTTAGTGGTTATCTTCTCAACAAGTGGCCGAACCGTCGTTTTCAAGGAGAAATGCTACAATATTTTCGCCGACGGGACTCACTTATGATGGTCGACTCATGTATTATGTTTGGCGACAGAATTATTGTTCCAAAAGTATTACGCTACAAGGTTCTGAAACAATTCCACAGCGGTCATCCTGGCATCAATAAGATGAAAGCATTGGCTCGAAGCTACGCATACTGGCCTACGATGGATCAAGATATCGAAAACAGATGCCGCAATTGTTCATCGTGCCTACAAGCAGCCAAAAGTCCAAGCAAGTGTGAACCGCAACAATGGGAAAAGCCGAATAGTCCCTGGGAGAGGCTGCATGCAGACTTCGCCGGTCCAATACGAGGAAGAATGTATCTAATCATAGTAGACGCGTTCACAAAATGGCCACAAATCTACGCCATGGTGAATTGCACAGCCGGTGAAACAATCAGCAAATTATCCGACCTGTTTAGCTGCTTTGGAGTTCCGCAGACGTTAGTGACCGATAACGGTTCACAATTCACTGCAGAATCATTCAAGCACTTCTGCAACGTTAATGGCATTGTGCACATACGATCTCCCCCGTATCACCCTCAATCGAATGGCCAGGCAGAGCGCTTCGTGGATACATTGAAGAGAGCACTTCTGAAAGGGGGAGGAGAAGGGACAACCGGGCAGGTGATCGCAAAATTTTTAACATCCTACAGATCCACTCCGAACCCGAATGTTCCAAACGGCAAATCTCCCGCGGAAGCCATGTTTGGGAGGCGCATTCGAACCATCTTCGATGCCATGTTGCCATCCAAATTAGTGGATGAGCGCAGTCACGGTCCAAGTATCCGAAACTTCAGTGTTGGCGACAAAGTTTACATCAAGTCCTACATCGGGAAGAACCGATGGGAGCCGGGCGAAGTAGTGAAAAAACTGGGAAGAGTACTGTACAGAGTTCGAGGAGCTTTTGGGACATGTATACGTCATACAACTCAAATCCTTAAGGACAAAAGAACGGTGCAGACTCGAAGTAACCGGCCGATTTTCCCGTTAGATTCAATCTTAGACGCACCAACGCCACAAACGCCCAGGAACAGTGAAAAGAAGCCTTGGACAAGGGAAACGACAAGAATAAT